TTCTCTCAGAACAGGGGGGGAGAGGTTCTAAGCCTCACCTCTGTTGATCCCCAATTTCTCACCTAATGGCCCCCTCATTGACTATGTTGATGAAGAAACGAACCAGGGGGAGCTGCTGAGGACCAGAGTGGGGTGGAGAATGAGGAGCCAGTCCTAGGTTTCCAAGTCAGAGCCCTCCAGCAGACCATCCCACGGGCTGTAGCTGAGCCCCATGCAGCGGGCTGGAGGGAGAGAGGCCTGGCTTCTGGACCCACCCCAGTGACATGGAGGACCCAGGGGGAAAGCAAGACCCACTAGTGCAGGTCAGCCTGGACCCTCTGTGCTTTAAAAATGAGAGAAGGTCCTCCCAGCCTCTGCCTGGGGCTCTCTGGAAATGACCCTCCCTGGTAAACTGAGTCAAGGCTCCTCAAAGACGCCTACATCCTAATCCCCAGAACCTGTGAACATGTGACTTTACACCGGAAGAGGAACTATGCAGATGTGATCAGGCAAGGATCCTGAGGAAGGGAGATTATCCTGGATCCTAGGTGGGGGTAGATGTAGTTGTAGGGTGCTCAGGAGGGGGAATCAGGAGGCTCAGAACCAGAGGTGATTTGACAATGGAAGCAGAGGTCAGAGGGCTGTGGCCATGAGCCAAGGGACAGCAGTCAGTGTCTAGAAGCTGCGAAGGGGAAGGAAGTGGTTCTCCCTTAGAGCCTCAAGAAGGAACACAGCCCTCAAATGTGGACTTTCCACCTCCAGAACTGTGAGAGGGTAAACTGGTATCTGAAACCACTAAGCTTGTGGCGATGTACTCAGCAGCCACTAGACTGCCCTCGTTCCCTTCCTCCCCTGCTGTGTGCCGGCCTGAGAAGCAGCCCGGACCGCAGCCCTTGTCTCCCTCAAGCACTGTTGGGACACTAGCCAGCAGCTAAGAGACGAAATGGGTGATAAACAGTCTGACTTACAAAGGACAAAGACCTGCTCCCTGACCAGCTGGTTCTCTTTCCAGACCCTGCCTCCTGGCGCATCCTAGTTCTGAACAACGTTTGCTGACCCACAGGCCAGTTCAGGAAAAATCAAAATATTTACAAGCTGCATTTTGTTTTCATTTAAGGTGCAAATAGCTCATCTGGGCCCCAGGGGGACAGTATAGATTTGTACAGCATAGATAACTATTAGAAGTGAACAATGCCCAAGGGAAAATGGGCATTTTTAGCTTCTAAATTAACATTTAGAATATTCCTTAAGTAGACAGGAGAGTCAGCTTTCTAATCTTTTCTTCTTTCCTTTGTCTATCCTTTTCCCCCCAGTGTCTGACCAGTGACACCTGACCCCTGCCCAGAGCTGGCGACCTCGCCCTTCAGGCCTGAGAGCAAAATGTCCCTGGTGTGACTTCATCGCCAGAGCCAAGCGGAGGGGCCGCGCAAGGCTATGGTGGGAACAGGATGTGAAGCAGACACAGAGCCTGAAATAGAAGCCTGTACGGCCACAGGAAGAGGATGAGAATATGGAGGGCAGGGTGGCTACCCACTGGCCCTCTGTCATTAGGCATCTTTATTGTGTGGTTGACAGAGGAGTGGGGAGTGTCCACCAGACCCAGACTGGCAGACGTGGAATTCAGTCCACCCTGCCTCTGATTTAATGACCCACTGCTACAAGCCACAAGCTCTTCATTTGTCGATAATTAATGGGAGGCATGTAGGCAGAATCCCTTGGAAACCGCAGTCCACAGGATGGCCCAAAGCAGGCCTCCCTGCCCCCATGACCTAGCATCTAGCGGGTGGGGGCGAAGATGCTGCTAAACACCTGGCAGGGTTCAAGACAGCCCCCCACCCCAACAAAGGATCAGCTGGCCCAAAAGGTCATTCATGTTGAGGTTGAGAAACCCTGCTGCTGACTGTGTGTATTGCTTGAGAGTAGAAATCTCAACTTACTCAGTTTTTAATTTCCAGTGCTGTCTCAGAACCTGGCAGAGTCAGAATCCAGCATATTTTGCTGTTGGTGAATAAATGTATGAGCAAGGGAATTCTCTCCTGCCTGACACATCTGCGATGCACAACCACCTTCATGCAAGCACAACCCCAGGCCCACTATTATCTCTGTGAATACATCTGCACATGAGTGCATGCACACACAGATGAGCACACATCCACAGGCATGCACACACACACACACCCACCATCCTCCAGGCACCTGCCCGACTCCGCCGATCACCCCTTCCCTAGTTCATCTGAAGACCAGGGGCTTCTTTTCTCTGCTACAGTCAGAACGTCCTGGGCGCAGACAGCTCGGCAGAGGCACTGAGTGTTCTTCATAAATAATTTCACTGATTTGAGGCATTTTCCTGTAGTGGCTCCATGACTGACTAAGCAGCACATGCAAAAGGGAAAAGATCCTTTTTGCAGTTATACACACAGAAGGCAGCTCAACAACTGGAAAAGTGACATGTCAATTCTGACAATGGAGTCGTGGCCCAGACATGTTGTAGGTGGGCCCGACTCATTAAATGGGGCGATGTTGGAGGTTGCTGACAATGGAGTAGAGGGGGCTGGAGGAACTGCATCGGGGACTGCCAGGCCCACTGGTGGGCACCAACCAGAAGGGCACAGGAGAGTGGGATACAAGTGGCCGTGGCACAAAGGTGCTCTTGTTTCTTTCCTGTGCTTGTCTTGTGGGAGCTGGACGAGGCTCAGAAATGAACAGCCAACAGGAGGAAAAGCCACAGGGGAAGTGGCACAACGATTTAGGTACCAATTTTCCTGGAAAAATTGGAAAAGAAGGAGTCTGGGATTTGCCAGTTCTTGGCTCTGTGACCCAAATCAAGTTACAAGTGACCTTTCCCACTTTGGCTCCTGTCAAGGTCGAGATATTGCATGCCCACAGGCCAGGGGCTTCGCCCATCTTGGCAATTACTCATCTTCAGGCATTTCCTGATTACTCACCCTCCTCCCCTGCTGGGCGGTAAAGTCCCTACGCAGAAAGGGTGTCACACTCATATCTATGTCTCCAGTGTCTACTTTAGTAAATGTGTGATGAGTGAGTACATAAATGAAACAATGGACGAACCCCAATTAACTGATTTTCGGGAGGAGGCTGGGGTAAAAGGGCAGAGTCCAGGGACAGAAGCCACATTTGCTGTGTCAAAGAGTTTGGGGTTTTTTTCAAGAGACAATAAAGAGTTCACCAGGGGGATGACATGCTAAGTTTAGTGCTTTGAAGAGAAGCCTTTGTATATGTACATGTGCTGCACCTCTGAAATTCATAACCAATGCCTTGAATTTTTGTGTTTTGCTTTGAGTTTGGTTTTCAATTGGACAAAGTGATAAACACATTATCTGACAGTAAAGCCCCCTTCCTATCATCTTCCACCTGAGACCTAGAATTTGTCTCTGATAACTGTGCTTTAATGAGTATGTGTGATAGGGTTTCAGTCGTGGTGGCACATGCATTCAAAAAATGTAATCGAGAAATACACAAGCCTATGCCAACTGGTGGCCTCCAGGAGGCAGGATCCTTTGTGTCTTCCGCCTCAGTTACTATTTTTTGTTTTGTCCAAACATTCTCCAGAGCACATGTGGGCTGAGCCTTCATGGCCTCAGCTCTTCTTTTGAACTTCCCACCTCATTGACCCAGGAACGCAGGCACTGCTGTGTGAGTGCAAAATGCCAACAGCCCAGGTCCCAGTGAATTGCTCAGGTGTGGACACTCAAATACAATGCCCCAAATCCAAGTCCTCTCCCAGAGTTTTGGAAAAGAAATGAAACTGTCTGTCTCCAGGTGGCGGGAACATAAGGCATGGGAGCCTGAGAGCTGGCCGCTGGAAGAGGCTGGAACAGACAAGAACAGACAAGAAAGAACTGTTTTCCAAACAAGCAGAGCCAAGAGCAGGTCGAAGGGATTCCGTTGTGTTTCAGGGTCTGGCATCCAGCTGTCTGGGGGCCCCTCCATGTTTCAGTCTCCGGGTTCTTGGACCTACCCCAGTGTCTTCCCCAAACCTCTCCCTCTTGCATTAGCTACTTTTTGTTGTATTTCTTCCACCTGTGCTTCAACTAATTATATAATAGGAGGTGTTTTACTTTTAAGATCAGAAAAAAAAGTTGTTGAGAATATGAGAGTTTGTCATTTAAATTTCTCTAAGCTCCCGCCTCACGTGTAACTTCAGATCTACGCCTTTGCAGCTGTGCAAACCCACCAAGGCTTTCTTTGAGGAGTTTCCCTCAAAATGAAAGAGGAGAGACCAGCGCTTTCTGGTCTACCAGTGGAGTGATTTGCTGTAGTGAATCTTGCCACTCTCACCACCCTCCCCACGCTGTCCTGTCCAGGAGGTATCTTTGCATCAGCAGCCCTGAGGGTAATCTGGCTGGGAATCCACCCTTATGAGTTGAAATAGGCAGATGCTGAAGAGAAAGACCCACATCTGAATTACAGCTTTACGGTGTGTGAGCCACGTGAGGGTGTTAAATTACTAAATTCCCTGCCCTCAACAACGTCCTGATCTGAAATGCTGCTAATAAGGGACATCTGCCTTCTAGAACATGGGGGAAGATGCAATGATATAATGCCTATAATCTCCCTTAGCTGGGCTGCTGGCCCACAGGAAGCACAATAGAAATGATGCCTCACATTGTCAAAAGTGTCTCTTCTGGACTCCTTCCTCAGGGTAATTCCCACTTTAACAAGAACATGCTCTACTCTTATGTCCCCATAACCAACACAGATCTTTGAGCTCCCTAACTCAAAGGTTTCATCCCGATTTTCCTGGTCTTCAGTGTTTAGATCTGCCCAGGGTGTGTGTCCATCCTGCCCGATGCAACAAAGGCCTGTCAGTCAGCTTAGGTTTATGCTGCAGAAATAAATTCCACCCACCCACCCCCAAAGAATCTTGGTGGATTACAAAAACAAAGGTTTATTTCTTGCTCACAGTCAAGTTCAACTCAAGCTGTAAATGGGGTACGTCTCTGTTCCAAACCTCTTCATTCCAGGGCTAAGGAGCAGCCATTATCCAGGACAAAACCCAACTTGGGACAGAAGAAAGAGATAGGGAACCACCTTGAAACATTCGCTGGAGTTGGTGCCCATCACTTCCACTTACATTTTAATTCCAAAGCAAATTAGGAGGGCAAAACTTCTATCAGTGGAAGTATAACTTTCTTGCATGGATGAATTCAAGAAAATATTGTGAACAAATAATGGGCTTTCACTGGGAGCTTCCCCACCTGGTCGAGGGGCTCTCTGGCTGGACATGCAAGAGAACACATAACTTTAATGCCCTGAGTCCTGATTCCCTCCAAGAGGGGGGTGAAGGCCTCTCTGGTTGGCCCCGTCCCCTGCTGTTACACCTCTTTGGCCTCCGGTGACCCTCCAACACTAGTAACAACTGATATTTAATTCCAGCTATCAAAAAGATGTTCACATCATAAAAACTGGAAGGACATAATCCAAAATCTAATTTCGGTTTTTCTCTAGGATGATTTTTTTTTTTATCTTCCAGGTTTTGTAGAATGAGTGTGTGTGTATTTTATTGAATAACATACAAAAAAATTAACTATAAAAAATAAGAAGATGAACCTGGCAGCAAAATGGGAGACTGATTCCCACGGAAAGATCCTGGAGGCAGGAGGGTCGGGGAGGAAAGAGATGAGGCTAAAACAGGGCCGTGGCCGTGGGGACCGAGAAAAGGAGGCACATTAACTTGGACGTGGCGGGACTGATGGCAGCAGGAGGTGGGGAGGGAGGCTTCTGTCGAGCACCTTCCTTGAGGCTCCTGAGGGTGTGGAGCCCCCTGGTCTTCAGGAGACGAGGACACCTCCCTGTGTCTGTTTTACAACACCTTGACCCTGGGCACGTCAGTAAGAGTCTCTTGAGCCTCAATTTCTGCCTTTTAAAACTGGAAGCAATACCATCTACCTCACAGTCCTGTTTTGAGAATTATCCTGAGAGTGATATGCAATTATTCTGTTTTGAGAATTATTCTGAGAGTGATATGCAATGCATTTCTGCTCTTGTTTCTGTTCCCTGACAATTTCTACTGGAATTGTTGAAAATGAATCAGCTTTGAATCTGCTCTTGAAGCTGCAGGGGTCATCCTTTCCTTACAGAAAAGTAAGAAGTTCCTTCCTTGAAACCCTCTTCCCAGCACCCATGTCTCCCCCAGGTTCTGCCCTGGTAAGTAGGTCGAGATCTAATCTTCCATTGTTTTATTATTTAGAAACTATCATTGAACTGCCACTATCTTGCTTTTAGAAAACGAAAGCTTGATGGACAACTGATGGGATTATTCCCTTCACCCTCCTGTCATCATGGCAGAAAAGTGCAGGTTCAGCCCCTCCTGATGTGGCAAAGGACACACGTTCTCAGGGCAGACAGCGTTGTATTCAAATGGTGTGATCTTGAGCATGTCGGTGGGTGTCTCTGAGATTCCGGCTACTTAATATACAAGTAGGAATTATAACACCTTCTCCAGAGGCTTTGTAAGAACAGGAAGGTGTCAAACTTTAAAACATCTGATATGACAATAATGCCTGGCACATAATAAGTAATTTTAATAATGATAGAGCCATACTGGTACCAAATTAATAAATAAAATCATCTATAATTTATCCATTCCATCATTTAATAATTAGGATGTTCTTCCTTGTGTCCAACCTAAATTTGTCCTCTGCAGCTAAACCCATAAACCGACAACCTGCCATGTGGCAATAGCCCTGGTCTGGACTCAGCCCAAAGCATGATAAGATCATTTGCTATGGAGTCACATGGGTCTGTTTTACAACAGCTTGACCCTGGGCACATCAGTAAAAATCTCTTGGGCCTCAATGTCCACCTTTTAAAACTGGAAGCAATATCCTCTACCTCACGGTCCTGTTTTGAGAATTATTCTGAGAGTGATATGCAATGTATCTGGTCTGTAAAAGGTGTGCAGTGAATGGGAGTCCTTTCTATTTATTTCTAATGGATTTTACCATTTAAGGAAAAACATTTTTTTAACTGAAGGGTTTTTTTGCAGCTCATTATTTTTATCACAGACCATTATAGCTTTTAAGTGTTTCGGGGCTTCCCTCCCTCCAGAGACACGTTATGATGCCAATTCAAAGTGCAAGTATACTGAGATTAAAAAGTAATGACTAGCAAAGTGAACGGTGGATTTCCCCTCTTGACACTCAGCTTGCCCCTCCAGAAGCTCATTTCCAAATAAGTAACTCTCTCTGGGGAAAACGACAACAACAACATATGCACACACACTCTTCTAGGGTCAGGGGAATATCTTTAGGATTTTACAGTTTAGGATCATTTGATGGCCATGGACCAGAAGGATGCTCTGCAGAAGCAGGGAAGCACATTTACATCAAGACGGCACAGCCCACGCTGCTGCCCTGTGTTAGGACAGACATCTGATAACATGAAAACAATAGTCAAATCATAGGGAGCTGGGAAGGCTGGGTCACCAAAGGGAAGAACCAAAGGTTGCATCCAGTTTTACAGCACTTGTCCCCTTCATTTCACTCTTACACGTGCGGAAGGCTCTCAGCAAACGTGGGGACTCCCTGGGGAATCTATGCTCATGTTGATGAAATTAGGTGCAGTCTTCCTTCAGTTCTATTCCTCTTGCCTCGCTTGTCCCCTTTCTCTACCTCTTCCTCTCCAAAGAACATAGGCGTAAGAATGGAATGATCTAATTTAATATGGGGACCCCAGATAAGTTTCCTATTCTTTCCGAAAACCATCTCTCTCCTCTGTAAGTAGGATAAGTAATGCCTGCTTCTGAGCCTCATCTGCTTCATGCCCATTACCGTATCCGTGGCTCAGGCCCATTCTTCTGCATTCATGCAGCTGCAGCCCACCTGGTTTAGCATCCCTCCTTTCCACCCCAGGCCACAGCATCCATGCCCCAAGCTACTGTAACACATTCTTTCAGCAATGCCCTCTGACCACGCCGAACACCTTCACAGTCCTATCTGCAGTTGAAGGGGTTAATCTATCTCCATGAGAAGGGAATCTGGAGCGAGGCTAAGGGAAGACATGGCATCCACCCTCAACTCATCACTCCTTCATCTACTCACTTGCTCTCTTTACACTTTCCACTCCAGCCACAAGGCGCAGCTCACCCCCACCTCCATGGCTTTTGCTGCTCCAGGTCTATGCATGTGCTTGTTTCTGTTTCTTGACAATTCCTACTGGAATTGTTGAAAAGGAATCAGCTTTGAATCTGCTCTTCCCAGAAGCCTCCCCTGCCCACCCCAGGTTTGGCTCAGGACCTGTCTTCTGTGTCTCAAAAGTACTCTGCCCTTACAGGTGTCCAGTGGGCCTACAGCTGTTGGATTTTGTGTGTCCCATGCTGGCCTGGGCTCACTGAGACAGACATGCCCCTTTTATCTCTTCATCCTCAGTGCCTGATGCAGCGCATAGCAGCAGAAGCCCTGAGTCATGGTTCAGGAAGGAGTGAAAAATACATACTTTGCAGAGTGATGCATGCTATCACAGAAATATAGTAGGAAATTGAATAACCCAGTCTAAAACTGAAAGCAGAGACTCACTCTGGGCAGATGCTTTCATGATTGTCCCTTTTTTTGGTAATGACTATTTATGGAATAGCTCAGTTTGGTAGGGTGCTACCATTATGGAGCTTCACACGCGTCTGTCTGGATGGCGAGTGGCTCCCCTCCTCTTCTTACATTCTCTCCTTGCTCGTCTCTACAGAACTATCTGTAGAGACCACCTCTCTTCATCTCCCATCTCCCAAACCCTTTCTCCCATGGGCCCTCCCCCACGCATTGTTAGGCCACTGGACATGTCCTACCTTCCATGGATGGATTTGCACTTCTCTGTTGAATGGGAAGGTCCTGATCATCCTTTGTCCTCAACTCTGGGGTTTCATCCAAATGTGAGACAACAGGAAAGAGCTTCTTTTGTTAACTATTAATCACATTTCTATGATATCAGGAAAAAGACAGACAGGAAATTGGCTTTGGTGAGGGGCACAAAATGATGTGTTCAGCTAAGCTATAAACAACAGTCCATGATGCCCCCCAGGCCCAGTGCCTGCCATGCCTGCAGGTGGCAGGGATGGTCTCCCATAAGCAGGAATGGAGACTGTTGGCCATTTAGAGGGTCTGTTTTGGTGATAATGGAAATGTTGGACTAAATTAAATGCTGAATTGCATCTGTGCACATGGTATGGGTGTGTAAATATCTATTTTAATCAGCTAAAGAACCCTTTAGTACCTTTGGATTACATTGCAGTTAAAAATGTCTAACCTCCAGAAACACTAATAATACAGAAAATGCCAGGTTCTGGGCATTCCGGAGAAATGCTTCTCTGTTGGATTCACAAATGGACTCTGGCACGCAAAGAAGACAGCCATGATTCTGCCCAAGCTGGGCAAGGAGGAAGGCTTCATGAAGGGGGTGGTCTTTGAGACTCAGGAAGATTGCTCTGGGGGGAGATGGAAGAGCATGCAGACCCTGGGAGCCCTGGAGACGACCACAAATAGAAGAGCAGCTGGGGTCGGGGTCCAGGTCGCAAGCCCGGGTAATGAGAAAGAGACAGGGAGGGCGTTGTCTGAGCCTTCAGTCCACTAGGTCCAGGTCCTTCAAGCATCTCTTCCCATGCGGCCTGTGAAGGAATTAACAGCCTGTTTCTTTTCAGATGCAGAATAAGGTTTAGAGATGCTAACTGACTTGTAAGGAGAGCCACGCTGGGCACTTCACCTAGGTGGTAAGGCTGGTGTGCTTCCTATGTGCCGCTGGGTGGGCAAAGGTGGGAGCTGACACTGAGACGTTAGCTGGGCCTCAGGACATGTGGTGCCCTTCCTTGTGGTGCCCACCTTTGCTGGATGAAGAACTAAAACTGCCAATCCCCCTGCTGGGGAAACACAACAGGTCAGGCCCAAAGCCTTCAGCTCTTCAGTCGGCATGTGTTCTGTGGCCAGCTCCACCCTGGACGCTCAGGGCAGTCAGGCCTCCTCCTGGGCCTGCAGGCGGCCACTGTCAAGGAGAGAGAGACTCACAGGCAAACCTGGGTCCCCTTCACCGCCTTGCCATTCAATAATTCTACGCTGTTCTTGAAAAGCAAACAAACATACTTTTCTACTCTCTCATCTCGTAGGATATGAGATGACCCACAGCAATTAATCTGTCCAAAGGACTTAGTCAATTCCAGCTTCTATAGTCTCAAAGAAGCAAAAACAATAAAAAAGACGAACGGGAAATCTTTATTGAGATGGTACTCTGGGCCAAACATTACGGGGAGTGCTTCACAAATGTCATCACATTTTATCCCAACCACCACCCTATGAGCTGGCTGCTGAAGCGGACCATGTGGCTCCCTGACCGGCTTCGATAAGGAGCCTGCCCCAGCCATGACAGGTGCCCTTCTCTGCCACCGGCACAGGGGTGGAAGCCCAGGGAGGCCCCCAGTGCTGTGAGGCGGCAGCAATTCCTCTGGACACAGAGGGAGAAGGCTCTTCTCTGTTTGTCATGGGCAGCCCCATTGCAGCCTTGGGTCCCACCCTGCAGGACCCTCCCCTACACGCAAACACACAAGGCCTGCTGGCGGGGGAAGGCCCCAGGGTCGGCTGTCTGCCGATCACAGCCACCCCCAGCCCTGTACGGTGAGTCCGTCTCTGGGGCCAGTTTTAGACACTTGCCAGAGACAGTGTCCCCCACCCTGGGCAGGGCTTACTTTTTATTCTTTTAACACAAAGAGTGAAGGACACCCACATTCACAGGAGCATCATTTATAAGCACCTGAGGCAGAAACAACCCCAGTGTCCATTGAGGGATGACTGCACAGACATGCCCTCTGCGTGCACCGTGGAGTGGCAGTTGTCTTAAAGAGGAAGGAAGTGCTGACACGTGCTACCATGTGGAGGAGCGTTGAGGACACCCTCAAAGTGAAATGAGCCCGTCAGAGGAGGACGAACACATCTGAGTCCCCTTACTGAGGTACAGACAGTAGCCAAATCCATGGAGACAGGAAGTAGAAGGGTGGGTGCTGGGGGCTTCAGGGAGTTAGTGACTCATGGGGACAGAGGTTCGTTTTGGAAAGTTGAAGAGTCCTGGAGATGGTAGGAATGGTTGCACAGCAGCGCGGCTCCACTTAGTGCCCCTGTCCTGTGCACTTCGATGTACTTAGGATGGCAAATTTCCCATTTCATGTGTTTTACTACAGTTAAAAACTTACAAATGGAAAAAGAAAGAGGAAAACAGGAAGAGCCTGGGGGAACTTCCCCAAGGCTGGTTCCTGCCACCCTTTATCCTCTCTCCAGGCAGCATTCCACCGTCACCCCACGGGTGGGGTGGGCCCTCTGCCCAGGGAAGTTCTTCGGCTTCAGAAGTCCCGATAAGTCTAAAACCACCCGGGCTTCTTCTGTAAGGAGGAACAGCCCAAAGGCTTCCAGGGGCTCCTGGAGCGAAGGCCGGGGAACGGTTTGGCCCACGGAGGGAGGAAGCCCGCGACTGCTGCCCACTCCTCTCCGGGGGACAAATACAGCGAGTTGGCATAAGATTTCACTGAAAACCTCACAGAATCCTTACCACCTTCATATGTTCCCTTTGTTGAAATAATGTGATGTTTTCTCCTTTTAGAGAAAAGGTACCACAGATCTTGAGAACAATAGACAACAATCACAATTCATTATTTCCAAACTTTACTCAAAAGAGGGAAGAAATCAGGAAATATGTCGATCAGGGCCTCAGGACCTTGAGTGGAAAATGGTAGAGGCTTCCAGATGGAGGGGTGCTACCTCGGTGCCACTGACTCTCCTCAATCCTCCAGAGACCTAAGAAGTCAGAGTCCCGGCCTCTTGCGGCCCAGAACGTCCCCATGCTCTTCTTTTCCATGGTCTCCAAAGGCCACGAGGTAGGGGCACCAGAAACACCACCAGAAGCTTGTTCCCTGAACACCGATGGTGACCCTAAGTCTAGAGAGCAAGAGGCTTACTAAGTTTCAAAGGTCAATTTTATCACTGAAAGAAGAAATCTTAAAGTAAGTCTTATGAGGTATTCCTCTCTGAATACCAGAGTCGCCCAGAGTCGCCCAACCAGTTCCGAGGCACCAACAGAGAGGGTAATTGAGACTCAGTCGAGCCTTGGAAACTAGAGAGAACTTCAAAGATGGGCTGTGACTGAGTTTTAAGGGTGAGAAGGAGCCCCAGGTGAGGCAAGAGGCATAGCCGAGGAGAAAGGTGTCTCATAAGCCAAGGCCTGAGGTTTAGCTCAGGGAATTCTGTGCATGAATGTGGGAACGGGCAGTAGTGTGGAGATTCAGGTACCCGGAAAAGAGGCGAGTCGTGAAGGCCCTCAGGACCATGGCAAGAAGCGTCTTCACCCTCCCATATGCCTGTTTCCACACCATTTACAATGCTTGTCCCACTTCAATGCTTGATAATACGGGTGAATGTTGAAACCACAATGTTGCTCATGTGAAACTTTCATAAGATTGTATATCAATGATAACTTAATTTTAAAAATACATGAACAAGATTTCCATAGCTATAATAAACTTAACATTATTGTTGTCTCCTTGAAGTTGGTCTAATTCTACATAATAATTTTTGTGCTTAAATATCTTGTGATAGTCATTCTTTCATCATTGTTTGCAATGAAAATATGTATGCACTTTGGGAAAAAAAACATCTCAAACTTTTCTTTAATGTTACTTGAAATCAAAACACACCAATCCCCCCAGAGTGGACAGAATAATCTTTTTAAAACCTAAATCTATCCTGTCTTGCTTAAAACCCTTAGTGGATCCCAGTGGCTCTTGGAATATGAGCCCTTTGGAGAGCAGGTACCTCTGTATAAAACCTCTGCTGGCTTCCAAGGAGTGACGTAATATTAACAGTTAATGACATTTTACTATGTACCATATGCTTTGCCTGTGTAAATTCGTTTAATCCTTATATCAAGGGGATAAGGTAGGTGCTCTATTAATCCATATTGTATTTGCAGGTACTTTGTCTGAGGTGGCAGAGCTGGTGAATAGTGGGGTCAAAAATGAAACCTGAATATCAGACTCCAGAGCCAAGGTACTGTAACCCCTGTGCCACACGGACCCCCACGGCCATGTTGGCATTTCCGTCACTACATGCCTCTCTCCATCTTCACTTCACTATTCCAATCCACGTCACCCACATCTCTCCCCTCTCAATGGCCGTGGCCTCCGAATGAGACTTCCTCTCCGATCTCAGCTACATCCTCCTAGACACCTGTCAGGATCCCAACTTCCTGCACCTCTCTTTCAGACCACCTCCTTTTATTTCCTGTTCATTCACTATAGTATACTAAGTACAACAATTGGCCCCAACACAACCTACAATCCCACGATCCTACCGTGTATCTACTGTCCCTCACCCTACACATGACCCCATTCCCTCAACCTAGCACAGACTTCCCAGAACATCACCATTATCCCCTCACATGCCTTGATCTCCTCAACCTTTCTTCCTGTCACTGTATTTACCTGGAAAGACTCCAGTTCTGGTGAAATCCCCCCTGCTCCCACCCTCCTCCTGAATCCAAGCAACTGTCTTTCATTGGAAGAAACCCCCAGCCAAGCTGATTCTAAATGAATGACCATCAGCCTTGGTGAGCCTTGATGACTGCCCAGCAATCCTGCCACTTTTCCCACATCAATCCCCTCTCCCAGGTCATGTCTACTCCTCTCTTCTCAAACTCCCCAAAGTCCTCTCCACTCTTCCCTCTAGTTTGCTACTTTGCTGAGAAAATGAAGCAATTAGAAGAGAAATTCCTCCGACTCCCACGCACACGTACATCTACCTCCCCACCTGCACCTCTAACTGGTGATTATCTATATTCCTATCTACGGCTATTCCTTCTTCTCTGTCTCACCTGCTGTCCCCTTCTGAATTTCTCTCCTGTATCAACAAATTTCCTCTTTCTATGGAATCATTTTGATTAGCAGGTTA